GATGATGCCGTGTGTGAGGGTGAAGCAGGGTAAGAATCTGCCTGCGCATAGGACCTTGCCAGACCATGTTCTTAGTTGCACAGAGAGAAGGGAGTAGGTTGTCCTGATGTCTCCCATACATTCGACAAAAGACAAGTCCATTGCTGGTGAGATGATGGAAGGTTGCAGGGAAGGGAGGGCTCCTGCTATAGTGACTGTGGAGCTGTCCCTGACCTCACCCCTGACGGACATGTCTCTGCAATGCCAAGGTAAATAACCAGAACTTCAGGGAAGGCAGACGTGCTGATGTTTTTGCACAAGGGTGTCAGGACAGAGACAACATAGTTTCATGAGTTCAAAGACAGGTAATGCTGCAGAAGACTTACCCTCAGCTCTGTTCCTGCCTTCACCCAGCTGCAGTCCCAACTCCAGGGAAGCATCTTGATATTTTCGAATGAGAAATATGTTATGGGGAGTGGTATTACCCCCTCCCCGCTTTAGTACCCCCTATCATGGGAAACTTCCATAGACATAGGTCCTTGCAGCTGTTTTGACACCCATCCACACCGTGGCTGCTCCATACCTTCCTCAGGTTCTTCTGCATCTCCTCACACCTCCTTTGCCTGACTGTCCTGCTGTTGGCTTGGTATTTTGAGACCTGCTTCTAAATTACTGAATAATGGAGTGGATATAAGAACAGGACTCTCCACAGGTATCTTATCAGCACAGTGATGGAAAGTAAGCTGAGATGAAGATAAATATGCAAACAAGAACAAGACTTTCAGGTGGAGGGATAGGTCTCCAAGGATCTTTATTGGCATTTGGGTTTAATTCACTGTTAAAAATACTGTATGAAATATGAACTATAATCAGACAGTGTATATTGTACATAAATACATCTTCTACAGCTCTCAGCGAATTTGCACAATTACATTAAAATTCACCCTATATTGTTAGTGGTAAAACCTCCTGCAATCACATAGTAGGTTCTTGTTGATAGTGATTTCTAGAGTGTGCGCTTTACTACCCGAGAAATCAACAAAGTGACTTATCCACAATCACCTGAAAAGTCTGCTGCCGAGCTACAAAATTTACATTTGCTGCTTTCAGCCCCCATCTTCCTCATTATAACATCCAAACACTAGTTTTAAGAGCGAAATAAGAAGAGCCTGATACAGTAATCACATTAATATGGGAAGGAATCTTATGAGTAAACCTAAACCTGTCTAAACAGAACAATGCCAGGAAAATATATATTTTATGGCTTTCTAACAGCAGAGGTTATCACACTCAGGGATGAGTCCTTGGCCTCTTCCTGTTGAAATTAAGAGGGAAAAAATACCACTGGCTTCAAAGAGAATTAAGAATTATCCTGGGATTACTAAAGTCGTCAGTGATCAGAACTTTGCTTCTCTGCTACCCTTTCCCACAGATTTACTATTTTATTTTTTTAAAATAAATTTAAAGAATGTTGTTTATTTTAGAAGACTACAGGCTGAAGAAAGAATCCAAAAACTGTGTGCAGAAGGGCAGATTGAAATCCTCTTGTTTAAATGGTCTTCAGCTGGAAAATTCAGGTTTTGGCTACCCCACATTTTCTTAAAATTGTCTTTTCTTGGACTAGCAAAAACACACACTGAAAAGGTTATTTCTAAGTGAATAAGTATGGAATAAAAAACTGGGTACCTCCAAATTGAAATATATATGTATCTGTGTATATGTGTAGATTTTGAAAGGGACAATATCTGCACAGTGGTAGACTGAAGAGGTGTGTTGATTTGTTGTTTGGTTTTTGGTTTTTGTTTTTTTTTTTTCTTATGCATTTACAAATGTTTAATTTGATATGCAGCAGAAATGGAAGGTCACTGTCCCTCCTGCTCACTGTCACATTACCAGCTAATGGATCGATGGGAAGTTTTTCAGAGGGCAAGTCGCTTCACAGATGTTATGTTTTCTGCTCATAGGTATCTTCCTTTACATCCATTTTGCCTGTGTGCTGGGAATAACAAGCATTTCAGAGAGATTTTACACATCTAGACAAGCCAAGTGGCAGAGTTTCCAGAACCAAGGAAAATGTTAGGGAGTCCAGCACCTCCTCTGAACCAGTGATGATATCTATGTAGGAGTGAGGTTCATCCAACTTGACTTTAGTCATCCATGATGTAGGTTTCTCTTCATGAGCTGATCAGTGCAGCTCCTGTTGGAGTTGATGGCAAGCACTTTTAGGGCATGGTTCGTCCATCTGAATGCAGTTATCTAGGACGGGTTTCACTTTCAGGTTAATACCCCTAACTTTAAGGTGTATCTCACTAAACTTATCTGTCTAGTGTCATTTCAGATCTTAGCATCTGCTGTCTGGCCTCCAGCTGCCATTGCAAAAGGATCTGGTCCTCTGTCTTATTTATCAGCTCTGTCTGGATGTTATAGGAACTCTAGGGCATCCTAAATGGCATTAAGCACCTGCGTTTGGGCAGCTGAATTGTATCACAGATATCACTATTTGGGTATCTCTGTGTGCAGCAGGCTCCCATTGCTTGAAAGGAGACCTTGCCAAGTTGGCGAAGTTTAGGGGTGACTGGCCAGATATAGGCACCCAGTTTAGGCTCAGCTGAATCATTAGTCTCCTTGGACTTTTTGACTCAATCTCCATCACAGAAGCTGAGACACCCACCACACAGAGGTATCCACATGTAGGAGCCTAAGAAACACTCCTGGGAAGTGCCTGTTTCCCTTCTCTGACTGTTAGGGGACGTGTCTGAGTGACTATCTCCCAGACTTCGCCTTACAAGGCTATATTTAGCCAGATGATTCTCGTTTGAGCATCACTGAGGGCATTTCTCTTCATTCGGAGGCCAGGCTTTACTAGAGATAGGCCTTCCCAAGGAAAACCCATGGATGCAACTCTCATTTGCACGGAAGTACCACACCAAGAGCAGAGGGAGAGATCATCTGTCCTCCATAGAGAGGATGTGCTTTCTGCCTGCCACAACTTGCAGTTCTCTTTAGCCAAGACGTAACGTCAGGTTGATGTAACCCACTCACTATGTAACAGAACGTGACTGATCAACGTTTTTAACGTGGGAAAATGATGAAAAAGACGTGAATTATGCAGAAATTATTTGATTTTAAACTCACATTTGCACAGACCAATCCAGATTATATCCCTCCCTAGAACTGTATATCGAGGTATATTTAGACAGAATTGCGTGGCCCATGTCTCTTCCATAGAACTTTATTCCTGAATGAATTTGCAAACAGAGGGTGAGCACAGTGCAGAAGGTGAAAGCTTTCCTAAGCTCTGTTTGAAACTCAGGTGTCGTATGAGCCAGATGAGACAGATGTCTTTCAAGGGCGAACTTGTCCCACCTGGAATATCAATTCTGATCACAAAATAAGCAAAAGCTGCTGTCACAAAACCAGGTGCCACTGAGAAAAATCTCATTATTAAACAACATTAACAAATTGCCCTTCCATTTTCACTTTTCAGATGTTTATACTCCTAACAGCCCTTACTCTCCCAGCACACGTGTTTTATACTTGCTACGGCGAATTAGTTGTGAAAATAATATCTTCCTTAGCTTTATGGATTCTGGCTTGTCTCGTTTCATAAAGATATTTGCAATAACCAAAGAAGGTTTGGTGAGTGGTTGTTGATTCCTATTTGTCATCTGAATGATAAAAATCTGCTCTGGTTGCTCTAACGAGTTCAAACTGAGCTTGAGAAAGGTCTCCATGTTTTCAATGAGCACCTTCTGGTGGTAATATTGATTAAATTACCATATCTGCTGTTCTCAGCCTTGCAGAAGAGAGAACAGCAATTCCCAGGAGTTTGTTAGAAGCCAGATGTTGAACAGGAGTAAAAAACCTGGAAGAAGAAGTAGCCAACAACAAAATTATTTGACCTTGATGAAGTGTGCTCTGTGAGGAGTGCCTACACGCCAGATGCTAGCCCTTTGCGGAAAGGTATTTTTACCCACTGGGAGGTTTACTTTGAAGACAAGTGCCTTTGAGACCACTTGGAGATTGGGAAGGGAAAAGAGTGCTGTGTTTCAGGCTTTGCAGTGCTTAAGTGATGTACTTTTCATTCCCTCAGCCCCACTTTTGCGGGAAAGAAAATTCATATCCTATTAGCATTACTCAGCTAAAGGAACTACAGAATGTCATTCTCTGCATCTCAGTTTTCCAGTATCTTGGCATTCCATTCTCATCCTGCTTTGGGATGAAAAGCATAAAATATCTTAGATATGCTATATGTGTGTGTGTAGAGAGTAAAACAAAATGTTCTTCCAGTTTAGATCTGGAATTGTGAAGATGGCATATTTTGACATTTTGAGCAGAATCATATTATGGCATTTGGAAACAAATATTGATTCATACCAAACTGTTTCATTTCAAAACTGCCATTTCAGTTTGAAAATAGCATTAAAATGGCATTTGCAGCTGAAATGTCAATTTAAAAGAAAATGTTTCAGCTTAAATTGACATACAGGAACAAAACATTTTGATTCAAAATTTCCCCTGTGGGGGAGTAAAAAATATTTTTTGTTGTTGTCAGAAACATTTTCTTCTGAATTGCACTGATTTTAATGGAACTAGATTTTCCTAAAACAACAACAACAACAAATCTATTCAATGCAAAACACTTAAACAATTTTAGCACTCGGCATTATAGTTCGAATCCAAGTCCAAGTGCAGCCGGACATGTTTGTGCTGCCATGCAGCCCTAGCTAAAATATTCTTTGGGCTCATCCTTGCGACAGATGCTGATGAAGAGCTGGGGCTACCATCACCATCACTTTCCTCCCCAGTGGACCCCTGCCAAAAATGTACACACACAGTTTCACAAGAGATGATGGTCAGGATTCGTCTGCCTGCTCAAGTTGACCCTCTGCAAGAGCTAAGAGGCTTCATCAATTACACTGCATTTGCTGGAAGATAAATAAATGGAGGATGTGAGCTCCTCTGCTGGGTTGGCTTCAAGGTGTCCATCCTGATCTTACTAGTTCTTTACTGTGCTCTTCTCAGATTTCATCCTCTTCAATACTTATTCCAGCCTCCTTCGTGCTCCCCAGCTCTTTAAAGGTGGCTTTTGTCAGTGTCCTCTTTGTGTCCCTCAGGACAGATTTGAGTTTCCTGGTCAGCACATCTGGCCAGTTGTAGCTGTAAAACAGAGAAGAGAGGAGGAATTAGCAACACTGCTTGCTAAGGAATAGCATTTTGTTTTGCATCATTTTGTGTCAGACAAAGCAGAAATGTTAGATGTTCTCAAAGCCATCAGGAAGCATCAGGCAAGGAGGGATGTTGGTAGAGAACTGCAGGGATGTGGTGGTCCCAGCAGACCATACACCCGCTGGAGCTGTTGCATGGGTTAATGGGATACATAGAGCTTTCATCCAAGGATATCCACTTTACAAACATAAATTATGTTTACGTAAAAACAACCAGAGGGCTTCAGCTGCTCATGAAAACCATTCCTAGCTGTGCATCACAAGACTGATAAAGTTCCTAGCTGGTAATAACAGAGATTCCCTCTTAATCAGCTGTATTTCTTTTGTGGTTGAGGTCATTGACTGCCACTAATGAGAAATCTGAAGGTCCAGCTGCTCTGACAGCCCCATGATCCCACCAAGTCCAAGACAGGATAGGCAGAGTACCAGAAAGCCCTGACATCCATCTCAGATCATCCAGTTGACTAGAAGTAAGCTTGGGGGTAGGAAAGCTCTACAGAGGGATCTGGACAGGCTGGATTGATGGGCTAAGGCCAACTGTATGAGTTTCAACAAGGCTCAGTGCTGGGACCTGCTCTTGGGTCACAACAATCCCAGGCAATACTACAGGCTTGGGGAAGACTGGCTGGAGCCGGCAGCGTGCCCAGGTGGCCAAGGCGGCCAACAGCATCCTGGCTTGGATCAGCACTGGTGTGGCCAGCAGGACCAGAGCAGCGATTGTCCCCCTGTACTGGGCCCCGGTGAGGCCACACCTTGAGTGCTGGGTTCAGTTTTGGGCCCCTCACTCCAAGAAGGACATTGAGGTGGTGGAGCATGTCCAGAGAAGGGCAACGGAGTGGGGAAGGGGCTGGAGCACAAGTCTGATGAGGAGCTGAGGGAACTGGGGTTGTTGAGCCTGGAGAAAAGGAGACTGAGGGGAGACCTGATGGCTCTCTACAACTCCCTGAAAGGAGGCTGTAGCCAGGTGGGGGTTGGTCTCTTCTCCCAAGTAACAAGTGATAGGAAGAGAGGAAATGGTCGCAAGTTGCGCCAGGGGACATTTAGATTGGATATTAGGAAAAATTTCTTCACTGCAAGGGTTGTCAGTCATTGGAACAGGCTGCCCAGGGGAGTGGTTGAGTCACCATCCCTGGAGGTATTTAAAAGATGCATAGATGTGGTGCTTGGGGACATGGTTTAGTGGTGGGCTTGGCAGTGTACGGTTAATGGTTGGAGTTGATGATCTTAAAGGTCTTTTCCAACCTAACCAATTTTATGATTCTAAGATAATGGGGGTTTCAGAAACTAAACAAACATCAAGGACTTGTAGAAGGCCAGAAGCTCAGTGAATGGCAGGGCTTTAGGTAAGTCTCAACTCTGCAGCTGTCCTGTCCTACATAAAGCATCATATGAAATTAAATTTACTGTGTATAATAGAAGAAAATATCTTCTAACTGTTGTAAACAAAAAAGAACCATAATCCATACCAATAACACCATTGTGATTATGTAGATATTAAAAAGGACTAGTTGAGAAATTGTTGTGCATATACATATATATATATATGTGGTTTTAAATTGTACACATCACTGTCGTGTAGAATGAACAAGCAGTTACTTTAGAAGAGAAATATATGTAAAACTAACTACATGAAGCAGGATCCCAAGAGCGAAAGATATGAGGTCTCAAAAGGAAGGGAACGAATGTTACTAGGCCTGAGGACTATTCACACTAATGACCAATTATTAATATGGAATTGTTAAGCGGCCTAATGAAACTGCCCTTAATGACAGCACAGGATGAGCTGTCTTCAAAGTATCTATTAGATATCTATAAAGTATATACATATACTTTAAAGTATATGTAAGACTATAGCAAAGTCAACTAATAGCACTGGCACCAGAAGCAGGTATGCAGGGTTGACCACTCCGACACCCTGTACTCTAGCACTGCATATCTAATGCTTTTTTGTTATCATTCAAGGGAATTGTACTTTATTATTTGACCTAAAGTTCTGCAGATGGTGGTTGATGGTCTGGTTACCTGTCCCTGAGGACTGGCTATTAAATCCGGATGCAACAAGAGAAGAGCCAGGATCTTCAAACTCAACACATATCATAATCCCTTCACTTGCACACTCTGTGGGAGTCCAAGGACAGCTAAGGGTGGCCAAGGACAACCAAGAGCAAAAAACAGAAAAGGAATCTAAAGGCAAATGCCTGAATCTTAAGAAAGCACAAATGTATCAACCCAATGAGGATTAGGATTCAGTGGAGGATCCACCCTGACAATTCATTCATTGAACATTATGAGAAATAGCTGATGTCCTTTTTAAAGATGATCACAAATGTTTTGCAACCACTGAGGAAACAGGGGAAAGAAATGCCTTTTTTTTTTTCCCCTTCTTTTTTAAAAACAAACAAACCAACCAACCAAAACCAACTAACAAAAAAAAAAATCAACCCCAAAAACCCCTTTCTGGTGTTAGACAAAGAAGATATGCCTTCCAGTGTGTTGCTGGGAGATGTTCCTGCATAATAAGAGAGAAGTAGCAGCTCACGCAGAGTAGAAGAAAGAGGGAAGAGAAGAAAGATATGATGGGGACAAAAATCAATAGAAGTGAGTGTTTGGTTTCTGCATTTCTGGTTTTAATCTTTGGAGAGATCATGGAGGCAAAATCATCTGAGATTATCCCTGCAGTGGGGCTGAAGGAGTAAGCTGTAATTGTACAGGTTTCTGTGTAGGTGTGAGTTTCACCTTTGAGGACAGAGAGAATATTTATCAAAAACCCTGTCCTGAATGAGTTTTCAGATCTCAACTGTTGGTCAGCTATACCTTGCTAGGCTATGGCTTGGCCAGTAAGATGCAATGACTTGGGTATTTATTGTATTTCCTGAACAAGAAAGAACCTTGAGGGATCTCCTGTCACTAAGCTGAGTTCATGGGATGAGAGGTCAGAATAGAGGGAGAGGCAAAGTCTTGAGGAAAAATAAGAGAGAAAATAACTTAAGAAATTGACCCTTGCTACTTTTAGGGGATCCCAGACCGGTCCTCTGTCCATGCAGGACACACTACCTGTATGCTTTTATATCTAAAGGTCAGCAAAGAGCGATATAGGTGATACTAAGATCTATACACCATGGATCCCTCCATAAATATGGCAGCTACCAACCACACTGTGGTGAAATCTTGCCCCTTTGAACTCCATAATGAGCTCTGAATGACTTGCATGGGGTCTAAGTCTCATCTCTAAAGTGAGATCAATCTAGGGATCACGGGGAGTCATTGAGCTCTCTCTGTGGGACAGTTCTCTGCTGGGCCTTGAAGGAAGGAGAGAAATCCCTTTCTCCATATCAGAAGCACTGTAAGATGCTAGGGGTGGGATTCAGCTGCCTGAGGATACTGTCTAGCAGTATTTGAGATGCCATGGTTTATCCTACTTGGTCTTCAGCTGCTGTTTCATCTGCCAGCCTTGCACAAGTGTCTCAGACAACCATGGTGCTCCAGGCTGAATCCCACTTTCATGCGTGGGTTGGTAGGTCCATGTTAAGATCCTATATCCTACAGCAGGAGAAAGTGGAAGGATCACTAGTGGTATAGCCAAGAGGCTTATCTCCAGGAAACTGGAGGTGCACTTTGGTGTTCCTCATACTTTGTTGCACGTTTTTTGTCAAGATCCAGTCAGAACCATCATTTGTCTTGAGAAACAGGTGTCCACCAAGAAAAACGGAGTCCACAGTTACTCTTTCAAGGTTAAAGGATTCACTTTCTGAGCATGAGGAGCAGAGTCTTGGCCTCCCTCTAGACTCCAGGCCAGATGAATGCTCCAAAAGTGCTGAGATGAGGATCCCCATCGTATCACAGCGAGGCCCCTGTGAGACTGCTAAGTTTACGGTCCCAGACTAATGGGACTGTAAACTGGGTGAATGGACTATAGGTCACTACATCTGAGATCTGCGTAGAGCATCCCTTTATTGCTATCAAGGAAAACCAAGGTTATTGATGGCATGATTCCTTTTATCATAAATATCTAAAATATATTAGCTGGAAACATCACTAAGCCACCAAGCAGGCACCTGGGAATAAGTGGTTGTTGAGGACATAATTGCCTCCATTGAAAGCTTCATGCACACAAGAATGATTGAACTAGGACTGCTGAAAAGCTCCAGGTATTTGGAGCCTTATTGATTTTTCTGCTGTTTCCCATGAATTGAGCCAAGTGGGCTAATGAGGACCTTCTGTTCTCTATAATGTACTGCTGATCAGCCTTGCTTCAGCACAGGAGTTTAGGTCTGTGGGTGATGTATGTGCTAAATATTTTTCTATCAGTATACGTGCAGTTTTTGTCAAGCAGGGCTAACCCAAGTGAGAGATCCTCTTTGGCCTTGGAGGAGTAGCTTGTGCTCATAGGTGTAGATCAGCAGGGCGGTCTTCTGTGCTTATATTTAGAAGGGAGTGTTCACATATGGTAATGCTTATGCAGGTCTCTGCACAGTGTGTCCCATATTTAAATCTTTTCTTAAAATGAGGAATTTCTGCCCAGCTCCTAGAATAGGGAGAGCCTCAGACAAAAATTTAAAGATCTCTTATGGGAGATAAACAGCCTAGTAACACTCCCTGAATCTTTAAAAGTTGTGGTTGGGAAAGAGGAACACAGCCAAAATTTCTCTTCTGGGTGTTATCCTTGTGAGAAAATTGGATGGAGCTTTAGTCTTTAGAGTAATCTATCAGCTTGAGATGGTGTATCTTAGGGGTTTGTAACCAGCCTATATCTAGGCACTCTGGGCTTTCATCCCCCTCTGCCTTTATCTAAGGAAGTGGAAATTAAGTAAAAGTTAGTTCAGAGGCACTGAGCAGAACTGTTATTGCTGCTTTCAGAGATCTTATTGAAACCCCCCCCAACCATACAGGATTTTCACAGGACATCAGACCCTCTATGTGCATGTGTGGGTG